TTTTTGAGAATCAAAAAGAATCATACAGTATCACAAACAATGTTAAATGTATATGTTACACACCGGACCTTTACAAGGAGTAAACAAAAACAGAAAAAAGAAAAATACATAAAAACACAAATATATTTCTTTTAGATTTGTAAACAAAAAGCACTCTCAAAATACTTTCTCTAGCTACTGTAAACTGTAATTCAGCTGATAATTTAATTACATGTACTAAAGTGACTTCCCAGCAGACTGGATCATTCCATTACTGGTACCTCACTGTGGGGAGCCACAAAGTCTGGTCTGAACCATTAACAGCAGCTGTCTCTACCCTTCTTCCATTAGCACTCATTCTAACACTCACAACAAAATATGTCTCAGACAAGCCAACTCTAATCCCATCTACTGTATATCACACAGACTCTCCATCTGTCTTTCACTGGTCAGGAAACAAGTTTATTACTGCGGCTGTAGCTTTACCAAAGGATACCTGTGCCACTGAGCCAGTGTAGTGTGTCAATCATACCAGCCACATTGGAGGTCACTGGCTCCTGGGCAACAGTCCATTGTCCATTCTGGGACATGGATAAAATGGACAAAAATAAGTCCCTTCTTCATTTTTTGTTTTTTCATAAATTCTATCTTTGGATAAATGAATGTATCTTTTCCAGCATTTTTATCTTATACATATCCCTTGCTAGAATCAAACTAAAGATGTTGTGGGCCAATAGTTTGCGTTCAAGAAGTGTTCCATCACTGTCCAAATTTGTGTCCAAATGGGGTTCCTCATCCACACCCAGTCCACCATCACCACCACCACCACTCACCCTAGCTCCAATACCAACACAGGCAATATCAAATAAGCTCCTAGCCATTAGCAATACAATACAACCTGCTGGAGGCTATTTATCTAGTCGTATTTTATCTACTTGTGAATAGGTGAAAATGTTACTTAAAGTTTGATTTACATTGTGGCATGTGTGTGTTCTGTACATCTGACTGGCATGTGTTTTAATGATACAACAATAAATGTATTAATCATGTAAATACATATAAATTGTATTATGAGTCATATAAGTCAGAAAGTAAATTGTTGTACTTGATCCCATGTAGGCCTTTGCATGGGCCTCCCCTGGGCCTTGGGATGGGGTCATAATTTGCTGTCTGTTTGTCTGATTATCTAATCTCTTATCTAGTATCTAAATAGTAAACTAAAATCAACTGAAATATTCAGGGCAGTTTTCGAACTAGATTTTAACACAAGGGCCCCGAACGAGACAAGGCCTTGAGATCAAGTAAAGGTTATGTGCTTTAGTTGAGCATATGAAATGAAAATATTTGTTCTTAAAATAATTATTACTCAGGGCCCAGCCCCCAGGGCAGTTGGCAGCTGGCAGGTGGCAGAAACCTAGCAAAAAAGAGAATCCAGGAATTGTCTAATTGTACAATAGCAGTAATGGCTACATCATCTCTTTGTTCAGCTGAAAGGATAGGTTCACAGGTTTTCTTGACTTCAGCAGTCTGAGTCAATCAAATGAAGTGAATATCTTTCTCTGTTAGTCTCTTTATTACCAAATATCAGGATTTTGTTACAGCACCTTCACCCCAACCCTTCAGCACAGAAACACAAAGTGTTAGAAACACTGCAGCTTTCTAAGAGAAGATATGTGGGGTCATTAAGAATTCTACTGGCCTTCGGAAGAGTGTGTTACTTTTATGGGACTTGTACTGACAACACACAGAACATATGCCAGTTACATACATTCACACCTGGAGGCTGTCCACTTACAGTACAAACACAGTCTGATCTGCTAGCCACTGTCACTGTCACAGTCACCTGCACCCGCCTGCTTCTCCGACCGTCTCTAACTGTCCCTGGTGCTGGCTACAAAACTCAGTTTAGGAGATGACACTCACTGACAACATAAATATGTCATTCAGATTTGATCTCTTCACAAATGTATGGTGTGTTCCGTTTGAATGCAAAGAGAATTTTAGAGTTGGCACGATGCATTCAGAGTCCATGGAAAGACACAGCAGATGTTTTAGCAAGAAATGGGCTCACGGATATAACAGCTACAGCTATTGAAACGGCTAGCACCCTGGCTGTTTGTGGCAAACAAACACACTGAGAAAGCTAAACAAGGCTGAACAGCTGTGTCGGACTCTCACTGTCTGTTCTGCAGTCAGGTGGCAAAAGACAACTGCAGGCTGCACAGTGAAACACATGCCATCCAAATAACCTTCCAGAAACAGAACCATGACATCACTGCTGAGATACACTGTGTGTGTGTGTGGGCGGGCGGGGGCAGGCGTGTGTGTGCGTGTGTGTGACTGTGAGTCCAACCCTGCCACAGAGAATGGCAGCACCTGTGCCGTCACCATGCCACCTGACAGTCCCGCCTTCCAGGAAAGCCGTGAGGTTTATGTGTCAAAGAGAGACAAGTGGTTCAGCTTATGAACTGCTTGACATGAAGCCAGCATGTGTGTGTGTGTGTCTGACTTAGACTACCTTTGGGGACGCATTTCATATTGAAGGCCAGTTAATTGGAAAAGACTTGCCCAACTGGGAACAAAAGTCAGCAATTAGGGTTATGGTTAGGGTAGGTCTCCATGAAATGAATGCAAGTCTAAATAATGTCCCAAAAGTGACCTTAGTAAACAAATGTATGTGAATGTATGTGGCTGTGTTGATATCTGAGGATCCAGTAGGGGACAGCGTGCAGTATGTGGACAGTATGTGCGAGCATGTTTTTTACGGGCAGCAGGTCTTGTGCCATAACAGTTGTAAGAAAGGTGAATAAACAGCTCTGTGTATGTGTGTTCTCACAATATAATAATAATATATGTACAAACCCGTGCTATCTGACAAGCTTTTTAGAAAACACTGATGTTATACATACTGCTAGTTACAGATAGCACCACTGAGGTTAAAGTTACAGCTTGCGTCCATGTGCGTTCACACAGGAAATACATTTACTTTTCTTCCTCTTCCTTTTCACATTCCTGCACAACTTACATCACCTTTTATGCCTCCGTCATTTCCCAGTATGACATAACTTTTTTGAACAAGATGTTGAAAGCACCACACTCACATGCACACATGCAGACAAAGCTATTATTTCAGATATCTGTCATCTCCTGAAAGGTCAAAGGCAGTGTGTCTCAGACGGCTGCCACCACAGGAGCGTGGTGCCAGACATTAGATAACGGCTGGCAATGCAATCTGGATTCTCGCACATCCACTGAAAAAAGTGCAGAGGACTCTTACTTGAAACCCCTTACCTACCACTGCAAAGTCTGCACATTGTATTGCCAGAGGTAGCAAAATGACACATTCTTTACTTAAGCAGAAGTACAGCTCAGCCTCTGGGAATTACATCCATATTCTTTCACGTTTTATCCAGCAGCAGTGTTCAGAGTCAGTGCATATCCTTTGCCATCAGTATATGAATGGGTGAATGTGACATGTAGTGTAAAGCACCTGGAGTGGTTGGAAGACTAGAAAGGGGCTATGTAAGTGCAGTCTATTTACCATGTAATAAAGAGGAAAGTAAGGGTGTAGAGGTCAAGCTGGGTGGGCATGAGGCACACCAGACTTTGGTGTGGAAGAGCAGAGTTTGTGTTGTTTCACAAGCAATAATTGTGTAATTAATTAAATGTTTTCGTTGCCAAAACTTAAGCCCTAAAAGGAACTTTCATTTTGTGTTGATTTTGGAGCCCACTGTGGACAAAAGCAGTAGTGTTTACCCCGCCTTGTTTCATTGATTAACAGGGGATTCGACCTGGCAGGCATAAAGACTATATAGAACTATATAGAACTATATAATTTGTTTATATAGGTCATATGCTAACCTTAAAGAAATAGTTTGATATTTGAATAATTTGATAAGAGTTAGCTGAGAGCACAAGAGTTAATACTACTGTAATATTTGTGCATTAGGTATAAAGATAGAGTCAGCAGGCATTTAGCTTAGCATAAAGACTAGAAGCAGGATGAAACAGCTAGCCTGGCTGGTAAAAAGAAATCTTCCTACTGTGAACTTTTGCATATGCCTTTGACAACTGCACAGCTGTAGATAGATGGATACAGATGTAGATACACTTATAATAAAGCTATATTTTTCAGATTTTCTATTGTAAATTTTTACATATATGTTCTTGACTTTACAGTACTTGCATTTTATCTTTTTTATGTTCTTTTACTATGTATTACTATGCAGCAAAATACCAAATCAAATTCTTTGTATGTGAACACTTACTTGGCAACAAACCTGATCATTTGATATCTTTTAAAGCTGCAGTAGGTAATTTTCATAAAAATAACTTTACATATTTACTGAAACTTTCACTATATCCTGACACTAGAACATGAGACAGATGATCTGTGAAAAACAGGTTCCTCTGGCTCCTCGTAGTGTTCCTGACGGCATTTGCAAGAATCCACCGCGATTGAAATGAAAACAACCAATCAGAGCCGAGAAAGATAGTTGATTGTTGAGTCTCATTCCCAGGCTGTCCAATAACGATGCTTTGGGACCCTGGGGATGAGACTCAACAATCAACTATCTTCAAGCCACCAACCCAAAGCGGCTCTGATGCCATGTACTGCTGAGGAGGTAGCGTGTAGTCAGACTACTGTGGGCAGTTTAGAGTTTCAAACTCTTCTAAACTGTATGTCTGTGTCACACCCTGACATAGTGACAACATGCAAACTCCACACAGAACGTGAGTGGAGAGGATTCCAGACTTTGCTGTAGTGTTTTGGGAACCTCATGTTCATTTCTGTCTCCTCTCTGTCAGCCCACATCCACACAGCCCAGCCACCTCCCACATCCACACCGACAGATGCTGATGAGGCTGACGTAGACTCACTTACACTGCCGTTATAGAGACCTGACACCTCAGCCGAGGCTTTTTTCACCTTAGCCACAAACACTTGCGGGTTATTATTTTAGGAATGGCTTCAGGGGATCAATTTCGCTCCCGTTTTTCTCGGTTTTCATTTGTTTGCTTACTGTAGAATTCATTAGCAGATTTTGTCAAGAGTTACTTTCGTTCTTAACAAAGGTTTTCTTTTGAAGCACTGCAGTTTGTCTCGTTTTTTTTCCTCTTTCTCCAACTTGAATAGTTTGCGACACTGGAAGTAGATAGAAAATGCCATGCTGTAGCAGCTTAAAGTGAAGACTGCTGAGCCTGCTGTCAGGCTGCAGTCACAACAGTTATGTGCAGTAACTGAAATCAACAGTTTGATAGAGGTAAACACGAGCCCATGAGTGGAGCTGCTGTAAAGCGTAAGCTGCCATGTTAGGGGACAACTGCTCCGACAGTCTGACCATTGATTTTTGTCCGACACCACCACCAGAAATCAGGTGAGCTCCATTTCATCATCACTGTACTCACATAGGACTTGGTCAAACATCAGCCAAAATAAGTGTCTGTTAAACATGATGTTGTCACTGGTGCACACTAGGGTTTGTATAATGAACCTGATGATGCTTGTCAGTTGTTGAGTTTTGGTTTGGAATCTACTTCCTCTAATTTGTGTGTCCATTATGATATTAACTGGTTCACACAAAACACAGAGTAGTTGTTTCTCTATACCGCACACTATGTGCAACATATATACATGTTTGTTAGTGTTATATGTAGTATGTATTATTTGATATTGCTATGAGCTCAGTTGGCAAATATACCATTTCACACAACTGTGATTTTTCTCACCAGTGCAATTGACATTTAAATGTTAATTAGTTCCTATAAAATTAAACTACAGACCAGTGTGTTTGTCATCTAGAACGTATCTTGTTTCTGTATTGATATAATCAGAAAAAATAATGCAGTGCTTGTGGCTATTTGATAGTGGTATACTGACATTGTCATATTCACTGAAACTTTCACTACATCCTGACAGTAGTACATGAGACAGATAATCTGTGAAAACATCAGCTTCCTCTGGCTCCTCCTAGTGCTCCTGATGGCATTTGTAAGAATCCACCGGGCCTGAATGAAAACAACCAATCAGAGCCGAGAAAGATAGTAAGAAGGCTTTGGTGTCTTGAAGGTTGATTGTTCAGTCTCAACCCAAGCGTAATTAACGATGTGCAAATGAGACTCAACAATTAACGACCCCTCAGATTTATCTTGTAACACCAGGGGGTCCTCGACCAGGTTGAGAACCACTGCTTTAGGAGAGAATTCAGATTTTTAATCTTAAATTTTCAGTGTACTTTGCGACTGTTTTGAAATGAGAAAACTAAAATAAATAATTAAATATTTAGAAATAAGGGGAACAAAATTCTGTTTTGTTTTTTATACAAAAACTGGATTTATTTATTTTTATTTCAAAACAAAACTTGGAAAATGGGTAATTTTTTATTTTTATTTTCAAAACAGAAAACTGCTTTTTTCCCCAATTTGTCCCCCCCTCCCACCACTGACAATTGTATCACCATGTAGATTTCAAAGACCTCAAGCTGTCACTAAGCTGCAGCTGAGAGCTCTCCAGTGCTAAAAGGTCTGAAACAGTGCTCACAACCAGCGACCAGACAGCATGCATACACACAATACGCAAATATTGACTCAGGCACCCACCAGGTGGTCGATCACTCATGGCCCTATTACTTTAATAGACCCAGCGTGTCTGTGTGTGTAGTGAAGAAAGCCTCAGCCAATATTTAGTACGGTCATGTTGACTGCTCCTGTTTTAGAAGCCAGGTGCCAACAGCTTCCTGATGTTTTGGTCTTCTGATCGCTCTAGTCCCCACCTCCCCACCTGACCTATTTATTATGTATTTGAAGATATTACCTCATTAAGATAGTCAGTTGAAAGAGAAAACATGCAATATTAATCTTGGTGTTGGAGGTCCTTCGGGCTATATTGGTTTACTGGGTGTGAATTAGCATGCTGTGTCAGTACAGAGAGATTTTGAATAGGCTTTGTAGTCAGCTTTTATATGATTGTTTTGATGATGGCACACACTAAAGTCATAGAATATCTGAAGATCACACTAAAGTCATAGAATATCTGAAGATCCTGAACCATCTAGTGCAGCCAAGGAGGACAGCTTGTCTGACAAATGATTTGAGAGACTGAGGTACAACCACAGCTTTAATGATACACACATCAAATAAGCTGCACTAGACTAGCCTACTATAAAGCCATAGTTTGGTGAGTGATCAACTCGAGTGACTTTGTCTTTAGCTGTTAAATGCAGTTCAAGTAGTGTAATACATCATAGATGCTCATCTGCCAGTTATTTTCTTGATTACTCAATTTATTGTTTGGTTTTTAATGCAAGAAAAAAAGTGAAAAATACTGTCACTGGTCCGTGTATCTTTTGGTCATTGGATTTTCCTTTCAGTAACGGGTATTAAAAAACAGAAAACGAGTGGTTATTTGATTTTCGTTTTAAAATACAAAAATTAAAATTGAAATACAAGGCAAAATTTTCGTTTTCATGGTCAAAGGGTGCGAATTTTAAAAAATATTTACATTTTCTATTTCATATAACAAGAAATAAAATCACTAGAAAACAGAAACGGGATGTTGTCATTAACAGGACGGTGCTGTGTAGAAGAAACAGTAGGCTAGTAGACTGCGGTCAATCCAGCCGTGAGTCCGATCTCCGTGGTTAAATCAGCCGCACTTAAATTTCGAGTGTACAAGTATTCTCAGCATTATGGTAAATGCGGAGAAACAGCGTATTTACTTCCGGTTTTCAAAATAAAGGTATTTAGAACAGTAAGCTATAATGTGAACCTACATTTAAAATAAAATATGTTATATTAAAGTGTTTCATGCGCCCCTGATGAAAAAAAAACATGTTATATCAAGTATCTTTACTGCACCAGTGTGGAGAAATGCCAAAATAAAAGCGTCATATTTATGCCTCCAGAGATTGCATATTTGACCATATTTGAGGTACTGTAAAAACATATTGCTCAGTGTTTCCTGGCTACTGACTTTTACACATATGAGACTACAAGCATACTTAATATCAAGTATTTTTACTGTACCAATTTGGAGAAATTCAACAATAAAAGAGGGTGAGAGAGAGATTAGCCTATCTAACAATGAATTATTAACAAAGCTTCAGAAAAAATAACCAGTAACTCACATACAACTTCAGTACCAGTCTACTGATTTTTGTTGAGAAAGATGAGCATGTTAACATGCTCTGGGGTCAGATGCGACCGCAGCCTGGTGACCGTCAGTCCAGCCGCCGGAAACACCCACTCTGAGGGGACCAACGTTGCCGTGATGCACAGGTACCTCCGTGCTAACTTGGCAAGCTGGGGAACCTTATTCCATTCACTTTCCACCAGCCTGTAGGGGTGCAATCCAGGGGTGGGGGGGCCTCCCTCAGAAAGTTCTGAAGTTCTGCTTTGATGCCAGACTCACATTGAGTGGTATAGTGCTCCCCAAGGAGTTGTGTCATAGCAGAGACCTGGGACTGAGAGGCCGCGACTCCAGTGTTTGCGTTCCCCTCGTCCGTGTCAGACAACGCAGGCTCCTCATCTCCCCCAGCCTCTGGGATAGCCACCCTACCAATCTCCACTGCCTCTCCCAGTTCAACCAGTTTCACATTAGCAGCCATTTTCTGTTTTGAGGTAAGAAAGCCCAGGTGCTTGTGACGAGGGTCCAGCATTGATGAGATCATGGGGGCGGATGACACAAACTCATCAGACTGAACCTGTAAATATATGATGGGGGAATCAATAAGAAAAAAAATGCTATATCTAAATAGGCAACACAACGCAGATAAGAGGCAAGTATGCATGTAATTAGGCCTACCTCAATTGGCTATTTATTATGGAAATCATTTAAACTAAGATAAAAAAGTTTAGTCTACATTCATTCGCCTGATGAGGGAGGACCGCATTTTTGCTTTGAATTCGATGAGTCTGGGCCCGTCTTCTTCACTGCGCATGAGGTGGATATTGATGAGGTAGAAGGTAACGGGATAAGTGTTCGAGATGGAGACGTCTTTCTCTGCAGACATAACCGTGGTGGCACATTTAAGTGCAGGCTGTGTGTCCTCCATCATCTGCCAGTACTCATCCTTCAACTCCAGGATCCTGGCATCTTGAAGCTTAGTCACGGTTCGGTCCGAAAGCACAGTAGCAACAGCCCACTGCTGCTCCACCAGCCGATCAAACATCTCGCACACGGAGTTCCACCGTGTTTTACATGACTGGATAAGCCGGTGAGTTGCGAGGCCCATTTGCTCCTGTTTCTTTTGCAGTGCATGGGTTGCTGCGCTGCTGTGATTGAAGTGGTTGACAAGTTTACTAGCCGCTGATATTACCCGATATAGATACAGTGTAAATCTGTCATTTATGGCCAAGGCAACCGAAATCAGGTTCACTCTGGTGGGACTGTTGGCAGCAACAATATTGGCCGCGTTGTTATGAACGCATGCAATAACTCGGTCTTCAAGTCCCCATTGCTCTACAGCTTCATTCATTTTCAAGCTTTCTGTGAGCAGGACCGCTGAGTTCATTTGCCAGTCATCACTGATATAGTGGCAGGTAATGTAGCTCTCAGCTGTTAAAGCGGTCCAGCAGTCTGTGGTTTCAGTTGTGCTCAATTCTTTTAACAGCTCTTGCTTCCGTTCTTCGTAGTGAGTTTCTATCAGTCTGGTGATGGTACGTCATGAAGGAATGTGATATGGTGGTTCCAATAAGTTTATCAGTTTTCGAAAACCTTCACCCTCAACAATACTTAAGGGCAGCATATCCATCTCAATGAACTTGCAGATCCCTTGGGTAATTTTCTCTGCTCGTTGTGCATCGCAGCTCCTCCGTGTACTTGCTAACATCGAGTCGATGCTAGGTTGAGACTGAGGGCAGGATGCACCGCCACTAACCAGGGTCGGATGCGTGTTGTTCAAGTGGTACATCATTTGAGTCGTGGCCGTGTTGTACTTATACACAGCTTCGCAGTGTTGGCAGTGAACTAAGTCATTGTTTAAATCAAAATGGTCCCACACCACACTTCGCCGTGACCTCGTCCTCTTCATGATTACTTTTGAAATACACTGAAACTTGCAGGTAACTGAGTAGGCCTGTGGCGTTTTTGTTTTTCAGATATTGCCCCCGTGTTGTAAAATGTTTAATTGCTGCCACATAGCGAAATTCATTGCAATCCTCAAGACTCACACTACACAACAGAACCTGCATTAGTTTTATCGATGAGAAATTAACGTCACCGACGAATTCTTAATGATCAATTAATCGATCGTCGATAAATCATGCCCATCCCTACTTCAGACGATTTGTTTTTATCCGGCAAACAGACCAAACCTCAAAATTATTACATTTAAGATAAGGAAAAGCCACAGATTCACATTTTTGCATGAATAATTAC